ACTGTGTCAGTCAAGCTTCTCTACATCAGCAGCTTTATCAGCTCTTGGTGACTTGGTGTAACCTTAAGTATTCAGTAACATTACTGGGAAAGAAATGAGTGCAATCCCTCCCATCAGAAAAGAAATTCTCTCAACTGTTAAGATTGGGGAAGAGTTGAGAAATTCCTTTGAAATCATTTGTGGTATTTGTTTCTTTTTTTTTTTTCTAAAATTCTTTCACACTTGAGCAGAGGCTACCTTCACAGACATTTATTAATAGAGTAAAAGATGCATTCAGTAAGGCATAAAACAACATCTAGAAAAAGTCTAGTGGTGACTAGAATGCATGCTTCCCATTTTGAACAACATGACTAATGCTCACTACTGCTCATGCTTCTCTATCTCCATTTTAATTCTTGCAGTGGAATACTGTTCTGTGCTGTAAAAACAGTTCTGAACATGATGTGATTAACCTTAGGGTCCCCCCATCCCCTCATCTCAAAGCCCCCTTGTACATGGCCTATGCTTTCTATTCATGTTCAACCACCTGATTTCCATATCATCCCGCTCAGCCTCACAAGCAGCTATTAGCATAACAGAGCTTTAGTGTGACATTGATTGAAGCCAGCACTTGCTGCATGCAGTATCAAAGCATAATTTGCCAGAAATCAAATCTAATTTACTGTGTACTATTTAAATTTCTCAAAAACAAAGAAAAGAAATTTCAATAGAATTATACTAGGTCTGTAATCTTAATTGTTCTTTTTTCATATATTGGGCTTGTCCCCTGAAATCCAAGCAATATATTTCCTTTTAGAGCCATTGTCTTTGACTTTCAAATGTCAATTAAGCAGGAGGTTTTCCACTCTGTTTATTCCAATCCAGTTAATGTTACATCTGAAATAGTAAAGGGTAATAGTCTGATAGGCACAACACTCGGTTTGCTGCTTCATAACAGTTTTTTCAACAGATTCTTCTAATGACCTTAATGTTTAGCTTGAATTAAGCATTAAAGTACCACATAGCTTTAGCAGCTGAAGCATATCAAGCCTGCTGTTGTTTCTCTAACTGTACCTTTTCAGAACACTTTATAAAAATTCACCTGCTTTGAGAGAAGCAATAGTGGCTGGAGTTCAGTTTTGTCCAACATGCTACTGAAGCTGGGCTTTGAGCAAGTTATGATCTCAGTTAACCTTTCTGTAAAATCAGAATAATAATATGTATTTATCTTTATAAACAACATCTACATCTGAAGATAATGAGCTCTCTTTTTAGGAAAATTGAAGAGCCCAAGTGCTTATTCTGTCAAAGCAGCTTTGCTGTCTTTGAGCAGGGTCGTGTTGCATTCTCTGGGGATAATGGCAGTCTTACTGCTTTCATACTTAAGCCTGACCAAGAATTACTCCTGCAATTATTAACTCTTACTTTCAGTTTTCATTTTGCATTATTCAACTAAAACTTGATAGATAAAACTGATATGGTGAAAACATTGTTTAAATGCTGTAAACAATGTCATTTTTATCCAAGGCTGTCTATAAACAGAGCCATAACTAGCTATGACAACAAAGTAGAACAAAATGGGGGTTTCCTTCATTGTAGAACCCCTTCTTTGAATAAATTTAAAAAAAAAAAAAATACAAGGTTTTATTTTTCCAAAATTGTTCTTCATGTTCTTTAAAATTATATTATATAGATTGGCTGAAGGAGTTGGTTTTGTGCTGTAATTAATGTAGTGACTAATAAAAGTCATCTCCTTGTGAGATTAAGAGATTATATTTAAATAAAAGTTCTGATTATTTTTATAGTGGTTTTCTAGTACTTATAGCAGCAGAGCAAAGCTAGGATAGATATTCTTGCATAATCATACATAATTGTTTACTGGAGTCTTTAGAATTCTCGTTTAATAGCTATAAGGCCACAGACTGTTCACCTAATATGGTAAATGCTGGAGAGGACTTGTGTGGTAGGGACAGAAGAGAGCAACATGATCAATCCATACCATTTAGATTATCTGGACTGAGCTACAGCCTTTATTCCTGCCTCTTTTCCTTGTCTCTTTTTGCAAAAGAAAGAATCCTGTATCTGCTCTGAGAAAGGTAAGAGGTGTTCAAAGTTAAGGGTAGGTCAAAAATTAGGAACTAGGACATTTCTCTCTCCTTATTCCTTGATTACTAAATTACCTTAATTTGGTCCTTGGAAAGCCTGCTTAAAGCAACAAGTTCAGTTCACTACAGGCTTCCATGTGTGAGAATATTTCAGATGAACCCTTAAACTTACCTACCTTGCATTTATTCAGTCACGTGATTGGAGAGAGAGGCTCACGGTGATCCCGTACCCTTCTTCCCTCTATTGAGCTGTCTTGGGGTGCTGTCTGTGTAACATACCCACAGTGCACCAAGCAAGCCTAAAAAGTGATCTTGGGCACTGATCGTGATTAGGTATGGTCTGTGGGATGGTCTCCTGGCACCAGGTTTTTAGCGTTATGGTAGAAAGATTATGGTCTAGAGGCCACCCATAAGGTAGACACAGGACTCATGCATGGTTCCTGTCAAATGCAGATAGAACATCTGAAGAGGTTAGAGGTTTTCTGCTCTCTGCACTCTCTGAGGTTGCTATTGATTTTATATTAATATCCTGGGCAATGAGCTTCTATGGCTAAGCAACAAACATTGAACTCAATCACTGCCCTTTATTAAGTGGGTGGGGAGGAACTGTAGAGATACCTTAGTGTAAGGGATGCCTATAGGAACGGAAGCTTCTAACTTGCAGCTTACAGGTCCTCTGTTTCCTGTCTGTCACAATCCGGTACCGAAAGGGCACTATATATATATATATAGACACACATCTGGTCTCAAGACTGATTATTGAGCGTGGTGAGGGGATTTACTCTGTTTCCCCGAGTTAAAGTCACAAACAGCCTGACCCGGTGCCCTTTCGGTACCGGATTGTGACACTGTCACATATGGTGGAATGAACAAACACATATGCTGATTACCACATCACTGTTTTCTGAAACATGTAAGGATTGCATACAGATACCTGAGGTAAAACAAGGTGAGGGAAAAAACTAGTATCTTGCTGCAGTCCAGCACTTTAGGAATAGTACAGCATGAGTTCGAATCCTAGAGCACGCGTAGCAACACCTACGCTCTTACAGAAACCACAAAACACAGGGATGTAAGTGGGCAGCAGCAGGGCACCTACCCTTTCTTCCCTGCCCTTTCAGAAGAGTAACACCTGCAGAGGCCCATGAAAGAGGTGGACACCTCTCTCTCCAAAAAGGCCAAAACCTGTGTTTAGGAGTATGAGGCAGAAGGAAGACTCCTTGTGTTGGCCTCACCTTCTACCTTCTAAACTGATAGTGATTCATGTTTATTAAGTGCTTTATAGTTTTTGGTTTGAGAGTGCATTCCACCAACACTATTTAACTGGTGCTCTTTAGGCTCCTGCTGATGTGTAAAGCCTTGGGAAGTACCTCACATGATAACTGCAAAATGTATTTCAAAAAAATCAGATCTGCATACATTTCTATGCATTTAGCAGATTTGCGTCTGTGCTGTCAGCATGTTTAAGCAGAAGCTAGGTCTTGATTGCTCTTCGTGCTTAATTGAATAGTTTGTAATTATAATGGTGAAAATACGGTTTTCTAAAACACTTAAATTCTGTTTACCTAGAAGCTTAGTGTTCCTAAACCATCCCTCTCCAGAACCAGCAAACTAGTAGTGGAATAGAAGAAAATGAATGTGGTTTGTTTTTCTTTTTACTATTTTGTCCCCTTCAGTCTCCCCCAAAAGTTAGCTAGTCTTTTGATAAGAATGCTTGTAGATACTGCTTACATTTTTTAGAAATGCCAAAAGTATAAATCCAGTTCCAGTGAAATTCCGGTGTTGAATCAAGACTGGAGGGTTTGCCTGTTATGTATAGAAAAGCCATTTGCTTTTGCTCACATCATTCTTAACATAGTCACTGATGTCAAAGGTTTTTTCTCTCAAATCCTCCGACACTGCTTCTTCCCCACTTTCCTTCTGCACATGAACACCTTTTCTCTCCCTTCTCGTTCCAACCAAACATTGACTCTCTTCTCCATCAGTACCCCTAGAAAAGTCAAACTACACCTCCCCTCTAGATACTGTTCACTTCTGACTGTGCTTCCTGATCTCCTGTGTCTATACTGTTAGTGCCAACTACTTGAAAACATAGCCAGTCTTGGTGGCTCTTCCATGTTTTAACTTTCCTTTCTATGTTTTTCTCTTTCTTGTCTCGTCCTGATCTCCTGGAATACCTATTCCTTCTTACTCACCACTCACTGCTGCCCTCTAACTCTTCAACTCTTGCTTCTTTCTTTTCTTTACACAATCAGAAATCTGGATCTCCAAAATCTGTGGGTTCTTTAGCAAACATTCTTTTTGCAGCAAGTCCTCCTTCCCACTCCATTCTTGATCGCACTACCCCGAGAGAAGTGAGGGAGCTCTTGAGCTTCTGCCTTTCTGCTGCCATCCAGACATTCGTCTCCTTCCTCAATCTTTTAAAGTCTAGAGAAGCAGATTGAAATTAACAGTCTGTATATCCTAATTCATACCTTGCAATACATGATGGCTTCAGAAAGCCAACAATCTCTGTGGAGCATAGAGGATACAAGAGTGCTGGTATATACCCAGATCAAAGATAGAACATGTCCAGAGCCGGCATCATAAACACCTGACTGCTGCTCCTTAGCATTTATTTTCATTAGAATTTACTCTAGCATGTATGGTTGTAATGGTTTTGGGGTTTTTTTTGTTTGCTTGTTTGTTTGTTTGTTTTTTACAAGTGGAGATATCACATACTGATATTGCTGCTCTTTTTGTTGCTGTTGTTGGTTTTGTTCATCTATTAGTTCTGTCTATACTAATTAATGTTTCTGGTGCTAAGTCCTCTGGTATAAAACAAACCTTTATAATGTTGTCTCTTTCCTTCAGTATTCCTCATTTCCCCCTTGCAAAATATCTTAAATTTACACCATGTTTTTTCTTACACTGTAGCTCCCCCACAGTTTGTGGTGAGACCACGAGACCAGATTGTAGCCCAGGGTCGAACAGTGACTTTTCCTTGTGAAACTAAAGGAAATCCCCAGCCAGCTGTTTTCTGGCAAAAAGAAGGAAGCCAGGTAAGTTATAAGCATCCTGTAAGCCTTTTAAGCCTTTCTAAATAGTTATATAGTTATATTTGCAAGAAAATTATTTATATTACCTGTCAAAGATTCTTTTTAATCTTTCACAGGACTTTGTCTTTTAAACTATCGCTATTCTCTACTGACATTTTTGTTGCTGTTTTTTTAAAATATTAATATTGTGAAGAACTCAAAGGCCATTTAAGTTGGTGAAACTTGTGCTAGGTGCTCTATAAAGGATAGAAAGCAACACTATTTATCTTAAAGACTTTTCTGAAGCCCCCAACAAACAGGTGGTGAGACAAACACAGTAGATAAAAAAGGTATGACTCAATTTTTAACTAATCAGAGTCAGTAATTACAGTTCATAACCTGTCTAGACATGATCAAGTAGATATATATCTACCATTCTGATTTGCATTGCCATATTCTCATAGCGCATACAGATACAGGTTCTGAACATGCGGATGCTTTCTTCAGTAAATTGTCTCAGGAATTTTCTGAACCTGGCTTTGGAAATATTTCCCTGACCCTTAATGTCATTTCTTGAAACCAGAATTTCTGAAGTAGCAATCAGTGTTCCTGCCAGCCACTACTAACTTCTAGAGCTTAATATTTGAATGTCGTAGCATAGCTTTTTTTTTTTTTTTTCTTCTCCCTGCTGTTGCTGTATTGGCACAATGTTACAGGAGAAGTCAGGCCTCCTCACTTCCAGTGTCCAGTTCATGTTAGCATGCTAAATTTGAACACTGTAAAGTATGTGCTGTACTCTCTTTTGCACCTGAGAAAAGATTAAAAGAGGCAAAAGAATGCCCAAGGACACTGCTTTCTGCAGCTACCTGATAAAGCCTGTCATGGCTACATCTTTCTATGTACCCTTCTCCACTGGCTAAAGTAGTCTTTTTAGAGCACTGTGCTACTTTTTCTCATTCAGAAATGTGTGAGTTAAGTGTCCACACTGTGCTGTGCAGTGCAGATGTGCCTTTTGTCTAATTTGAAGGCATTGTGTGTGTACCAGCTCAGTTAAAATGTCAGGTGAGAACTGAACCAAAGATCTCCTGCTCTGCCCCACCTGCTTCTTCTTCACCTTTGCATGAGGTCACATAACTGATCTAGAGTGACAGGACCAAGGCTGACAGCACTTTGTGCTCTGTTGCATATGTGGCTTACCATGATACAACTGTATTCCTTTAGGAGTGGAAGTTAGTATGAGTGTAAGCTTAATCTTCAGTGTGTTATTTGGAGAACTTTAGATCTAGCCTCCGTGGATCACATCCTGGGAAAGCACAGTACTGTGAATCTCAGAAAGGTGAAAATTATTCCAAGGGGAAACTAGAATGGCGAATTGAAGTTAAAGTAGGAAGTATTGATGTGCTAGCAAAAGATTTCAAAACCCTTCCTTGTAGAGCATTTTAGTAACATGGCAATGTTTATGTAAAGTGAGCTTATAGTGTCACACTTGAATCTAATAAAGTGGACATCCATCATGCTGTAATAAAGAGAAGAGCTTCTAATTAAAGTAGGACATCATTTGCAGGATTAAAGTCATTTAGCGTAATTGAAAAGTGTTAATACTCTATTTTATCCTCTTCCATTGGTATCACTTCAAGGGTAAAAACATTTTAAGGTGAAAATGCATCTTGTGTCTTTAATTGAACGTTATTACCTACTGATTGTACCATGTTGAAGCTGTTTAATTACAAACCTGGAAAATTAATTATCATATTGAAGACCAGATCCCTGAGGGTTAGAATGGTCTTTTTTGGCAAATAAATGCAACATAAAAATTGATACCTACACGGTCTATAATCAAACCATGAGGCATAGCTCAATGTGATTCACTACACCCTCATGTTAATCTTAATTGAGCATCAATGAGGTAACACAGATTAGTATTATCATTTCAATATATAACTTGCCACGTGTTGCAATAAATTCCATATAATAGGTGCATTTCTGTCATCATGCAAGTCTGGAGGATGGTATTTTGGCCAAATTACATGACTTTTCACCTTTGTGTGCCCAGATAGAAGTTGTTGTTTGCCTTTACAATGTTTGCTTCTACTTTTCTTTGAGGAACTGTTTGCAGCACCACTGTTAAGTGTTCAGAGTGATGTTATGTAGCCATGTTAGCCCACTCCAGTAATTGTAAGGCACTTTTCATTGTGAATCCATTTCTCAATCCTGTGTTTCTGAGCACAACCAGCTGGAAGGGAGGAGAGCTGCTCCCTCCTGAGTCATTTTTTGTGCCAGCCTGTGCATAAACAGCTGGTGCTTTGTACCCACTAGTGTTTTCCCCGGAGTCCAACAGCCATCCGCCAGTGAAGTGCACCAGGGCAGGGCATAGTCTTTAGAGATAAGTTCAGTGCTATTATATCAGGGGTTACTCTGGTCTTCCTGTTTGCAGCCCAGCATGCTACCACTGTGCCCAAATGAGCAGCCCAACAGCTAATTAAAACCAATGGAATAATAAAAAGATTTTTAAAGGGGTTATAATGTAATTTAGGACAAGTTGCAAATCATATTTATCTCCTCTTTGAAGGGAGGAGTCATGAGACTGATGAACTCCTCCCGATGTGTGAAATATTCATGGGGCATGGTACCTCTCCAGAACAGACAAGCCCATGTTAAAGATAAGAAGGGTAGTCTCCCCTTTCTAATACATTGATAAAGAAATTCTGTATCTTTTTCCTCTTAAGAGTTAGAAGCTTGATCCTTGCACTGTCCTTTATGTTGTGTTTCTTGTTACATTTTGTATGGGTGATTAATGGAGTCAAGCTCAGCCGTACAAAAATATTCTGCTTTCTCATAAAATTTAGTGTTATTTTCATTAATAACCTCATTCAGTACGTATTTGAGCCAGTTGTGGAAATTTGAAAAGTTTCAAGGCAATTCAGAAAATGGCAGTTTTTTGGTACCCACTTAGTCCTATAGCCTGAAATAGTTTCAGAATTTTCATACTTGGATCTGACATGTTTACTGGGTGCATATTCATTTTTGAGGGAAAAAATTGCTGTGAAAAATTTCTTGACCAATGACACTGAAAGAGGGTAAGGGAAAGACTCACCCTAGGGTGACAAGTATCCTAGTAGGCTACTATTATAAAGATACTTGAAGTGTTGGATCTTACTTAAAGTATATTTTTCTCCTTTAATTGCCAAAACCAGATAGATAAAGCTACACGTTTCACTTCAAATGAGCATTTTTTAAAATCCAAGTTTGTTCCTTATCAGTTCCAAATGATTTTTTGTAGACAATTAAGGTATGCTACAGAAGAAGCAAATTTACTATAAATTCAGTTAATACCCTACTCTACAGTTTCAGATTTTTTTTTTTTTTTTTAGTTGATATAGCCAAGCTTAAATGTTAGTAGGCAGTCATCATTGTAGAGCGCAACAGAGCTACACGGAGGTGCAGTAATGACTGAAAGCTTATCAGAGCACGGTAACAGTGTTTTGGGATATTCCTGATACAAACAACTGTATTTTTTATGGAGGCTTGTTGAGTTGACATAAAAGCCAGACTCTATTTGCTTGGAATTACTGTTGTTTAATTATTATTTTTTTTCTGTTCCTCTTTCTGTCTCATTGGGCAATGCTGCTGACTGTCCTGTTCACATTGCTTCCTTTCTCCTGTTCTTTTTCATTCACATCAAGAGCTGTGCCCCATGGTGTAACTTTTTCCTTGAAAATGCATCCCTCGCCACTAAAACCTTTTTAGTCCTTTTCTGTATTATTGATTCATCCAGTCCTTCATCACATGGAATGACTACTACATCCATTCCAGTTATTCTTATTGACGTCTTTCTTTCCTCCAATCCTGCCCAAAGGCAAAAGCTAATCTCCCTCTTTTGTGCTAACTGATGTCTTACCCTACATGAATTTTTTTTTTCTCTGATGATTTCCACATCAGATTTATACCCTTTCTCTTCACCCTCAAGGCTCCATGCTGTTTTTCCCTTTTGGTATATCTCAGTTTTAATTTCCTTTTACTTCTTTGAGCTCTCATGCTCTGACAGCTTCTCCTACTTTATAACCTGTTTCTGTCTTCCTCCCAGCCTTCCTCTGTGCCATGCTCTTTCTTTCTTTTTTGCCCAGAACATATTCACAGACAAACAATAGTGCTATGTGCCCTCAAGTCTCCCGGATTCAATTATTTCTGCTAGTTTTCTGACAGTTACTGTAGTAATGTGTCCTCCTGGTTTGGTAGCCAACTAACTATATTATTACAATTACATTGAGAAGGAAGATGAATGTGTCACAAATACAAATCGCTCAAGTGTGACTGTTGGAAAATTTCTCCTCTCCTATACACCCAGCTAGAACACACCACTGTCTGCTGTGAAAGGACTGTTTCTAATTTAAACTGCAAGTTGCCCAAGGCAGGGAAAGCTAGCTCTGTGTTCATAAAGTCATAACCACACTTTTTCTTCTGGTTTATATATAGTACTTTTAAGGAAAAATCATCATGTGTCTAGCGGAGGGAAAAGCAGTGCTTTTGGTGTCTTGAACTGATGTGAGATGAATTGTCTTTGCAGAATCTACTCTTCCCAAACCAGCCTCTCCAACCCAGCAGCAGGTATTCAGTGTCACCAACTGGAGACCTCACTATTACCAACATTCAGCGGTCTGATGCAGGCTACTACATTTGTCAAGCACTGACGGTTGCTGGGAGCATTTTAGCAAAGGCTCAGCTGGAGGTTACTGATGGTGAGCTACAGAAATCCTATTGTTTTTTCCTGTCAAAAGTATTTTAAAAGCAGTGCAAATGAAGGCATATGAGATCACGTAATTCATACAAGTAAACAGATAAATGTCTACAGAAAATACAATAAAAAAAGGGTCTCTGTGCAATTCTCTGTGGTATCAAAAAGGCGTTGACTTCTAATTTGCCTTTTGCTTGCTTTCTGGAGGCTCCTTAACAGTGCAAACAAGGGACAAACCAGCTTAGCATATGGTTGGTGGGAGAGGAAGCCGCTCAGTTCACTAGAGGTCAGATAGGACTGCAGATGAACCTTGTGGAGGATGAATAGGTTTGTGATTAAAACAGTGAATTGGGGTGCAGGAAAATGGGGCTCAGTTCCCACCAGTCTTCAGTATTCTCTCAGGCAGCTAGTTTGGGGATGTGTCCTTAGCTTGATTAAATCAACACCATTGCCTTGAATTTACTGGAGTACAGTTGGCTTAGATCAGCTATGTAGCCCTCTAGTCCCTCTGTGAATAAGGCACCTACCTCAGAACTGTGTTCTAGAGAATTTCTCAGTATTATTAGGAGTGAAAAGAGCCATGGAAATATGTAGGTAGATAAGAGATTTCAGGAAAGACAAAGCACTACATAATCTGATATGATGCTTTCCATTTCAAAATTCTGGGTTTGAAATTTATCCTGCCTTGAAGTTTACCTTACTCCATCTAGAAACATGAATCTTTTTCATATGTCAGGAATCCTGTTGATATTCCTCTTCATCCCCTTATGGACAGAAGGCAGTTTGCATCCCTTAATGTTAGTGGAGAAAACAACAGAATTCCTTGTATGCTAGGAGATCATGGCATTTCCCAGCATCATTATTCCTTATCTTAACTGACTCGTTAAATATCTCCTGACAGACTTTGATGAATTTTTGCCATTAAAACTGTTGTTATATGCAGAGGTCTACTTTTACTGTTCCCTTAGAGACCTTCCTGCACCATGAAAGTTTGAAAAGATGTCTAATTCTGAATAATCTGGCTTTTCACAAGAGCGTATTCATCACAAGTGACAGGTAGAGAGGTTCAGGCTCATGTTATAGAGGTTTGAGCATTAATTTGATGCCTTTTCTTTGTTTTCCAAAAGCTGTCTATATTTTTATGACAAGGGGAGATAATTTCTGCCTTATCCTTGCATCTTTACAAGCACATTGCTATTCTGTAAAGTGGTTTCTGGAGACTAAAGGCTAACCTTCGCTCTGCAATCTCTTTAAGTCATTTCTTCTCATGGTCTATGACAAAATGATGCATTTTCATTCAATTCAAATTTAAATGTAGAATAAAAGGTCATTTAAAATTAATGGAAAGGCAGTATTTTTTAATATCTGTCTATAGTGCTGCCTGATTCAGTGCCATGACTGTGACTGGAATAAATAGAACACACAAACATTGGCTAAGAGGATGTTGAGCTGTAAATGGTTGCACCTGCTGATGCTATACAGATTTACTGCAACAGGGGCTGAGTCAATCAAATCAGGTTCAAGGATATTAGCGATGAGAAATTCCTCCTTTTGAAAGACAAGGTCTGTGGTCCATCTTTATCTATGCTGGGGGGGGGGCTTGTGTTAAGAGTAAATCCTCACTGACCTCTTTGGAATTTTCATTAGTTTATTTAAGAAGTCAACAGAAAGCTCACAGAAGTGTCTCAGCTAAAATGCAAGCTTATCTACAGTTAATTCTGATTAAAGGCGGTGTGCGTTCCACATTGCTAGAGAGACTATTAGCTGGTGGCTCTGCTGCTCAAGGAATGCAAGGCCTGTGTTTTTCAAATGCTTTCCTGAACCCACTGTCAGCACGATCGTTATGAAGTAATACAAGGTTGCTTTATAGAAATACCATTTCATCCTTGAGTCAAAGGGCAGGTGAAGTCAGAAGAAAAGTGTCAAAAGAATATTGTGGAACTGAGATTGTATAAATAAATGTACCATTAGATCACTTTTTTTTTTTTTTAAAATTGCTTTCAGTTAGGAAGTTAACCACAAATGTTGAAATAATCTGGTTTAGTTGATGCTGAGCAAAACTTATGGAAGCTAATGATTTTTATTGGCAGGGAAATCTAATCTAAAGTTTTAAAAAATATGATAAAAGGTAAACACTGTGCATGCTAGCTATTTACTTAAACATTAGTGTTCTAGTTTTTGGCTGGTGGTTTCAGTTTTACTTCATAGCCCAGAATTTTTCTGTTTGGTTAATGATTTAATAATAGTGGCGAGCCATCTTTTCCATTTTGAACACATTTTTGTTTGATCCAGAGTAATTTAGTTCCAATTGAAGTTCCAATACAGAATGAAAACATATGTCATGAGCAGAAAAACAAGTGCTTAATTATACCATATATAGCAGTGTTTCAGTTGTTACATTTTTGCACTTACAAGACTTCACTGGAAATATTTTTAACTCAAGTGTTCACATGAGAAGAGATTGCTAGCTGTGATGAAATGTGCTGAGTTGAGTGATAATTTTGCTGATTAGGGACTGTGCTAAGAGCCTTCAGTGTATTTGAAATTCAAATCTTGTGTTTTCTTGAAAGGCCATCATATAACCCACTGTCTAACACACATCTGGAAAAGCAAAATAATTTTTAAAAATTGATATGATCTTAGTAATCCTTTCAAATTCAAGAGGTGAATATGCAGCTCACAATCTTAAAATGACAGATCATGCAAATAAACCAAATACTTCCTTCTAACTGTGTCTATGCTCAAGATAAAAATAATTGTTTACAATTAGTAATGTGTTCCATAAATTTATCCATGATGGGCAGAATATATTTGGAGAACATCTCAATTTCTGCTTATCTAGTAATTATTACTTAGTAATAAAAATTTTGACCACTGCGTGCTCAACTTTAGGATCATCCCATTTTGCTCAGTTTACCCAGCAGTTGCTGTTTAAGGTGAGTGTTGGGAAGAAAGAGCAAGTTTACTGTGGATTTTTTTTGCATTGTAAGAATGAACTGGTTTAGGATATTGAATTAATTAAAAAGATTGTGTTTCTGGGCTTTGGAATGAAAGCAAAAGGCTGGACCTATAACAATAATTCAGAACAGGTTAAAAAAAAAAAAATAAAAATGTTGGAGTAAACACATAAAGCATTTTTCCCAAACTCTTCTGCATTTTTTTTTCTATAGTTCTGTTCAATATTCTGAGAGATATCTCTCTCAAATCCTCCTGGAAAAATTTAATATCACTCACAGTTTGCTTATTTGCAAATCTGGCCAACATGATTCCTATCCATTATCAAATCTATATTGCATTTTTTCATAGCAAGTGTGGGAGTTTCAAACAGAAGAGTTGATCTCCTCTTTTCCACCTCTCAGGAGAGCACCTTGCAATATTATACTAGTGTTCATAACGAGAATTTCAAGACTTGTGTCTGATTTTCCTCAGTAATTCAACAGGAAAAGTTTTGAAATGTTGATTTGGGAAATGCCAAAGTAAAAACTTGATTTTATCATTCTCTTATTTTAATTTCCTGTTGGTATGTGGCCAAATTTCACCCAAATTTAAGCATGATTTCAGTTGAACCTAATTTGTAGCGAATATATTGTCGATTAACAAATGCAACTTGTTCTTTTCCAGTACTCTGCTCAAAATTTTATTCAAAATAAAATAAAAGATATTATTTTATCACACAAGGGATCTGATAATTTTTCAGTTACCAGAATGTGTGACTATATGGTTGCTGGCAAAGCATAGTTTCAAAACCATTAAAAAAAATTAACTTTGAAATCAACTTCTCTTTTACTATGGAAATATATTTTAGTGACACAAAGTTTTTCTCTGGAATGAATATAAAGTTTCCTGCTAGCAGAAAACATTGTAAAATTTAAATAGAATAATGTAAATGTTGTAAAAGAAACAAACAAAACCCCCAGCCGTTTTGTGGATATTTTTTATTATTTCTCTGTTCTTCAGAATGCTTATGATGTGCACCGAGTTTTGGTTCCTTACTAATGAGGAGACCTATGTAGAAAGAATACAAGCAAGTATACACATTTTAGAGAAGATTTACAAGTCATAGTTGTGAAGACAATACAGTCGTTCACAGATCAGTGGAAACCCTAAGTGTTCATTTAACCTTTGGCCTTAGTGTCATGGAAACCTGTAGTGGTCTTTCACCCATAACACCCTTGAAAATGAAGATTCCTTCTGGCTAGGAGACTTTCAATTACACTATTGATCAGAGCTCTTTAAAGGATTATGAGCTTCTCATTTGGGCTGTAAAAAAACTAATTACATGCCAAAGAACAATATCTGTAATGCACTAGGTTTTGAAGATACCTACATTGCTACGCATATAAAAGGCAATTAGGTGCAGCAAATAACTGCAGTGGCATAGTTAGCAACTGAAGTAATTCCTTTCCTTAAGTTTTAGCCATGTAGAAAAATGGAATTTGCTATTTTATGTTAAATCTAAGGGAAGACCTACACAGCTAAGTTTTCATTTGAATATACTCATGCTGGAGGTATACTGATAGTACATAGGAGCTAATGTCAAGTTTTGTTTCACCACATGGCTGAACTGTGTAGTCAAAAGGAACCTTAATGAGATTTAAAAAATATGATCTCAAGGTGAAAATGCATTACATCTTCTCTTCTATTGTAGTGTAGTGTTTCCTGTCCTAGCTCTGAGTTCAGTGGGTGATATTTCAGAATTTCCAAAATACCGTTCTCATTCTGGTGTTAATAAATAATCTGTATTGCTTTTCTGGTTTAAGTGTCAATTTTAATAAATGTGATGAACTCATGCTCCAAGGTGCTACTAATACTAATGATTCTATCTTTTGTGTATCTTCTTAACAAAAGAGGGTAGTTAGTAATTTTTGCAATATTACAATTTCAGAAAAAAAAAATTTACATATAAAATGTACCACTAGCATCTTCCAAATACTTTTTTATGTATTACATAGCAAAATGAATGCTCTTTTTGTCTGTTGAAGGTTCTAGAGGTCTGGATCTCAAACAGTTCAAATACAGCAGAAAACATACTGCTTCACAATAATTTTTTTTCACTTCAGTTTTAGAGTCAGGTGTTGTACAAGGGCTAGAATGAAACAGATTCACAGCTAGAATAAATGATTCAAACTCAGTTGACATGAGTGGAGGCAGGTGAACTTAGACTCCTGTAGGAGCTAATACTGCCTGTTACAATATTTAATACCAGTCATGTAATTGTTCAGTTGGTCTAAGATTTAAAACAGGAGCAGGTAAATATATAAAAAATGAATTCTTTGTTGTGGTATACTGATTTTATGCAGGAGTCATAGCATTGTTTATATTCAAGTATTTCACATTCATTTTCTATAAACACACTCTTTAGAAACAAGGGCTTATATTTTGCTCCTTAACAGATGGCTCAGAGAATAGGTTCAACAGCAGAATTATTTAGGAAAAATTTGTCTTTCAAGAAAAGTGAACATGAACATTTTACCTCATCTTCAAGATATCCCACTGGTCATGGAATTAAGATTATAGGCAGCCATGCACTCACTCACTGGTTACAGATACCTTTAAGCAGTATTTCAAGCATGCAAATGCAAACTATTGAGAGGGGAATTTAGAGAGTTCAGGGCTTTAAAAGGTGATGAAATTATTTGATAAGTAAACTGTTAAATGGCTTGACTGATTTTGAACTTTTCTCCACTGAAAAGAGTAGTACAGTCATTTGGGTCACTCAGGTTATGAAAATGTTTTGTATTATTGTTAGCTATTTTTTCTGATGGAAAGTTGCATGCAAGTTGATAATGAATGGGGTATGTGGTTGGTATTCCTGCTAGAATAGCTAGTGCTTCACTTAGAATTTGAACAGATTTTTCTCTTTTAGGCCCTAAAACAGGTGAGCAATTAAGCAGATTTTGATGTGACATTAACCATGTGCTGTAAGTGCTTCCCTAAATTGGAAGAAATAACAGATGTTCCTCAATTCTTCTCTGGACCTTAATTTTGATCCTGTCTTAATCAAATTAGCCTGATGGTCTTTGCTAACAGAAGTTAATATATCTAGGTGTTATTTTTCAGTGGTGAATAAAATTCTTACAAAAATGTTTTTTCAGGTATACCTGTTGATAACATACATCTGTGGGTCTTCCAAAAACTATGCTTTTAGCGTTTTAGAGGCTAACTTAAACCAGTCTGTTAAAAATACTTGTACTGTTTCAAGGAAAGGGCTAACTGCAGCAGAGGATGGTTAAAGGAGTGGATGCCAATGCCTGTGTCACTGTTTAGTCTTGACAGATAGGCCTCCACCCATCATCCTGCAGGGGCCGGTCAATCAGACACTGGCAGTGGATGGTACAGCTTTGCTGAAGTGCAAGGCAACTGGCGACCCTCTTCCTGTCATCAGCTGGTTAAAAGAAGGATTCACTTTCCTGGGCAGAGACCCTCGAACATCCATACAGGATCAAGGGACGCTTCAGATTAAAACTCTGCGGGTGAGTAGAGATGACTAGACAAGCCCTACATGGCTGGTCTTGAGCTGTTGATGTGTGACTCAAGAAGCTCTGTTGTCTCATTGTCTGTTGTCTTCAAAATTAAGCTAATTGTCTCCTTTACTGTGAAATTCTCACCAAGTCCACATCCTATTGTTGTCAAAAGAAAAGGATTAACAGTCACAAAAATTCTAGGTTTCAGAACTCAGGGGGGTTGTGTCCTTGATGAACGAGGGAGACATCAGACGTTGGTGGCACCAAACTAATCTCAAATAAAGACAGTAGGAGTCTCAAGAAAAGAGAATAGTGAATTTCTGCTTTCATATGTATAGTTAGGAGTGACGAATGACTAACCAACCATTTATTTTACTGTAGTTTGTTCTTTATTGTCATTTTGTGTATACAACTTGCTTTTTTCTCAAAAGATGTGCTAGGTTTGGTAATTATTGCCTAGAACCATTTTCTGTGCAGAGCTGTAATAAAGCAAATGTCTGGACTCTGTGTGTCAGGTGGTTTTTCCACACCAGGTAAAAAATCCAGATTTGGGACAATCCTATTTCATTCTTTGACATTATGTGGGGAAGGGGAAAGATGGGGTGGGGAGTGGAGAGGAGAGCCAAGCTAGCATCAGATATTTTGATTAGAATTCCCTAAAAATAGAACTGATATTTTAAATCTTACATATATTGCAATAAAACACATGAGTTGGGGATGGACAGACATGTAAAAAAAAGCCTTCATCTTTTTCAGTCAGTCTTACAGTGAAGCCATTGGCCTTCTGTCTGTTAAAACTTAGAGCAGTTCATTTTCAGCACGTGATCATAATTTTTCAAGGAGCTATTGTGCTAGCAAGTGATTCTGGAGTTCATCAGGGTTTGGCCGTGCACTTTCTCCATCAATGCGTCTTGGCAGTCTTGAGCTGCCTGATTTATTCCAATGTTACGCTTGCTGGAGATGTTCCATCAGGCTGCAGATGGGAGAACTAAAATTGTAGCACACGTGCAGTCATATGCAGAGGGATTTCTACTCGAAATGCTTATCACAATATTTACATTTTAATACACGAGATGTTGTATTATCTCAAGAGTACAAAGAAATCTTGTAATATTCCAAATAACATAATGCCAGATTTTGTTGATAAGCATTGCATTGCTGAATTTTGTTTGGGCCTTTAATTTTTCCATGTTCAAAGGTAAAAATGCATATTTGTTTGTGTGTACGTGGACAAGCATATGGAAAAAAAAGTAAGAAAAAAGTAATTATTCATCAAGAACTTAAAGACTATTTCAAAGACCGTTCAATTTCATCAGCAGTAATTTCTGCACTTAGCTTTGCCATCCAAAAGCACATCAATAAATGTCACTACTGAGGACTAGACACAGAGACCAGTTTTGTTTACTGATACCATCTCATCAGTGATTGTAGATGAATTGTTAACTTCCTTGGAACAAAATGGAATTTATTAAAAAATTTATGCTAGCTTTCCCTGAGTAAACAATTTATCCTTCCTCCCTGGGCTGAAGGCAGGTTTAGGCCATGAAGGTTAATGCATTTTTCCTGTAGAGCTGGATTAAAGAGTGCGCTTGAATAGTCAAGATTCCCCAGTAGTGTTAGAAAGCAGCAATTAAAGGTGGAAGCCTAGTGATTTCAAACAAACTTTCAGGCATCGATGATGGGCTTCTGTTGAGTGTCCATGAGGCAGAAACTCTTGGGATACCTGTCTGCATGCAGCTATGCAAACAATGAAATTGGTTTTGAATCGTGCCAGCGCATTAATCTCGCTGTTAGAGGCACAAGGTCTGTAAACAGAAGGAAAAAACATTGCTTGCTAGGGGAGAAGAAAACAGTATTAGTAGTGAGTGTGATTGTGAAAGACATGAAGCTTTTATTGATCCTTAAGTGGCTCATTCACTAGTAACCAATTTTCCTTAAAGGCTCAGAAGGACATTTTTTATAAACCTCTCCATTGCAGTAATGTGCACTGTTTGACTCCAACTTAAGAACAGAACCCAGACACAGCCATAAAACCCAGATTTCTCCTGTACCTTGCAATTTTTATAAATTAAGTATAGATTTGAGTCTGCCGTGTTTAGCTTTTATCCCACGACTACCTGAACTAGGACTAGCAACACTTCCTGAGCAAAAAATGGCCACAAATGCATTCTCCAAGTACACTTACATACTCAAGTTCAAAAAAAAACTTATTTATCACCCTCATGCCCTCAGCCATCTTCCTTCCTTCACAAATAATAACCACTACTGCAATCATAAAAATTTCAAGGTATGGGTAAAGATGAGCCATTATTATTTAAATCTTTGAGACCATCCTTTTCTGCTGTGTAACTCTCTTTCTGGTTGTAAAATTGTTGTAAAATTGTATTCAGGAGTCTGCAGGAGTCACAGTGAACCATGGGCTAGTCATGAACCTGGAGATTTTTGTGATGAGCCAACCTTCCCAGTTGCTCTGAGAAAGACAACTAAAAACACATACATCACTCCCTCAGTACTCTTTCAAAGGGGTCAACACTGACCGAAAACTCCCTTCTGCTCTATAGAGGTGTACCCCACCAGCTTTAGACACCCGCATTAACTAAGGAAGGAAACTTTGTTTTATGGAATAGCAAAGATTTTTCATTCTCCTCCCCTGTTGTCTTTCTATGGCAGAAAAAAAAAAAGTATAAATAATTGAATTGTCAATACATTACGTCTGTATCTAATTCAGCCACAGTCTGGAAGTTAGATAATTCACCGTAACTTGCAAAAGGTGGCATATCTCCACCTTGCTTTATAGGTTGAGTTTGCCTTCTACAAGTTACTCTGTTGTGCATGCCACATACTTAACATTGAGAGTGCCATAGGCCATCTCTCATAGTAGTACGCAAAATAATTTGAGATCCATAGCCTTGAGAAATATCCTTCATTATCAGAAAATGAATAACTATGTATTTTATAAAAGCTCAGAAGAATCAAATTAAGACTCTATTTCAGAATGCTGTAAGGCTCTTTCATCTGAATAAAACTGTCTCCAAGAGTCTTTCTCATTTCATTAGCAGTACTTCTCTATTTTGAGTCTCTGAGCCATTGTCAAAGGAGTTTAATTATTGCTTGTATTTCCCAGAAAAAACATGTGCTAAGAATGGCACACTGCAGTCTCAGTACGTCTGAAGAAAATTCTAACAAAATTCAAACATGACAAAGTTAAAAATCAAATTTTATATCAACAAGCAATCTAAAGAACGTCTCACTTACTTGCTTTGTCATTCTTCTTGAGGAGTGAGGTATAAGCACATGTGCTATAATGCTGATCTGAGTTTAGCAGAAAACCCATTACAATTCCTTAAAGTCCGATAAAGCTTCTTGGATGCAGTCCTATTTCCGTCAAGTCGTCTGGTGGTGAATATAATTCTTCTCTTTTATCACTCGCATCAGCACTCTCCCTTTTCTGCTCCCATCTCCAGATTACCATGCTTTATACATAATGCTGGGAGAGCTCCTCTCTATATTTTGTGCTTTGTACAGTTACTGTTTTCCATCCATTTCTGTCTTCACTAGTCCCTGTTTCAGAAATCTTCACTTTAAGTAAGGAATAGCAAAACACTTGGCAGATTTTCCAGTAGAACAATTTATACAGCAATGAGATTAATATTGACAATATAATTCAAAACAGTTTCCCCAAACAAATTTGATATACATGAACTGACAAGGGAATCACAGTAGTTTTATAAAAATGCTTTTTTTTTTTTGCTACCAAAATGCCTTGCAAGCCTGAATTAAAATCCCACGTGAAACAGAAGAAGAGTAAGCATGATGCAGGATTGGATCTGATTTTGCCATTTGAAAATCGTTTGGGAGACTGTGAGAGAGAACCACTGTTAAGTCTCAGCAACAGTATTTATATGTGTGGTGGCCTGTAGAGAAATTGCTTTGTCTGCTTTAAGAGTCTAAGATGATGTAACAGCCTTCCTGACACTGGAAACTGCATCTCTGGGTCATCATGGGGTAATAAACAGTGAGATTTTATTCTCTAAGAAGTTAATTGTTGTTATGTTGTTACCTGATTTCACTTGCAATTGTTTTAACCAATACAGAGGTTAAGACTGTCTGAAACATCCGTTCTGTACTACTTTCGTGCTGGACTGGTACCATTAACAATATGAAAATTGGAATTAGAAATGTACTAGAAGCAAATAATCTTATTGTAGTTCTCTAAAAGTAAACCACCATTAAATCACTATTTGAAAATGTCTGGTGCCCTCTAGTCTAGTGTAAAATGTAGACTAAGTCCTTCTTGCCAAGAAATATTTAGAAAAAGAAAATTAGAGTAAGCTCAGTCAGCTGATTCTAAAAGACTGTTAAAACTGCCCTTAACTGTGTTTTATGTCTAGCTGTCTGATACAGGGACTTACACTTGCGTTGCTACAAGTTCCAGTGGGGAGACATCTTGGAGTGCCGTGCTGGAGGTGACAGGCAAGTGACATGCAGGGACTGTTTTTCAGCTGGCACAGAATGAAAGCGTGGGCTATATTAGAGCAGTCTGAGTCAAATAAACCATTCTAGAAATTCTGGGATTGAAATGCAAATGGAGAAGTTTTAGGTGGGAAGGCTGGATTCCTTCTCATGCCTTGTACTTCATTGCTGTTATCTCTAAATGCCCATTGCAACACTTTGTCTCCAGCAACAGTGCTATGCTATAACTCTTCTAAACAGGACTATTAGTAAACTGTGAAGTCATTCAGTAGTTGGCTTGGCCAAGAAAACTGTTAAGCCTACACAGAGGCCTATCAAAGTTCAATGTGCTCTCTATGAGTGCTGGAGTGGATCTGAATATGGGCATTTCTCAGCCTTCTAGTAACTGAGGTTTTGGTATTTTATATAAATTCAACAAAGCTGGGCTTTTCTTTTATTCTTTCTTTTTTATATATTCGTGTATATATAACCTTTTAAGTTTTGCAGATTTTTTTCTTTCAGTATGTACCTAAAGAATGATAGCTCTTCATCCAAAAATGTGTGGTAACACTATTGTTGACTTAGTTCTTTACAGATTAAGAACATTAATTATACTGATTTTGCATGTTTGGCATGTTTTTCGTTTTAATCTTCTACTTTGATCAAATTTATACAATCAAGGATAAAAAATAATTGTTTTGCACTTGCCTCTTACAGAATCTGGTGGAGCAACAGTCAGTAAAAGTTATGATATAAACGACCTCCCTGGGCCACCATCAAAACCTCAGGTCACTGATGTTACTAAGAACAGTGTCACCCTGTCCTGGCAGCCAGGGACCCCTGGAAGCCTACCAGCTAGTGCATATATCATTGAGGCTTTTAGGTATGTGAATTATTCCCCTTCTAATCTTCCTTTCTAATTTTGCTTAAACCCTGGTACCAGCTGTTCGCCTGGTACTGTGGTGTTCTTTTGGATGCTACACATATCATTAGAAGTTCATTGAAAGACCAAACTCCTATGGCAGGCATTGACTTTTTAATTTTTTCATTTTTTTTAAAATGTATCCCTTTTTTTTCTCAGCGATTAACTAGAGGAGCATCTACTTATTTCTTCAGGTCGACAGGACTATAACAGGACAATGCAGTCACTGAGGGTACTTCTCCCTTGTTGTTGACTATTAGTGAGAGTGTCCTGTGGGAACGCTGCAGGTCAAATCATTTGGGCCAGTGTTATCTTGACTATCATGGTACGAATAATCTGTAAATAAATGGATAATCCTGAAGCCTCTCTGCATACTTTAATTCCTCTTCTTATTAAAGCAGCACCTATTAAAGAGTCAAAGCACTTTAAATTTCTGATTTTTACTGGTTTAGATTAGAACTTTCAGCTGAAAAGGCTAAAGTTGATGATTTTAGATTTCATCGTGTGGACTGAGGCTGAAGAGATCCAGCTCCTGCCTCCCACACAGCAGCAATTAATAGGTGTTATGAAAGAACTCCTGGGCTCCAGTTCAGCAAGTTTGTTTAAACACGGGCCGTACGTCTCACACATATCAGTAACATACACTCTGGCTTAAAAAATGTGCACATTCTTAAATGTTTTCCTTAATCAAGATGTTCAACAAATGACAAATAATTTAGTTCATCTTTTAATTAAAATTCATGTAAGGATTTGTCAAAATCATATGCATACAAATTTAGGAAGTTACAGTGATAATGCTTCATCCTCTTATGTTAATATGCAAAGAACATAACTGTGTGCAGATTGTTGGTTTTGTTCTGGAAGTTATCTTTTATGCATTACATGAATGAAACAATTGAAATAACGTGAAACTCATAGCTTTCCATTTTATTTTTCCTTTTAATATATTTAAAGAATTATTTTTATGAATGCTATACAACAAAGCACAATGAAATAAATTTTTTTCTTTAAGCTTTTCTGATATTTCACCTTAGATGAGCTTTAATGGTATCTCATCAATAATTTTAACAAAAGCAAGGCATTTTCATTAAAGACCATTTTAACAATCACAGCTGAAATCTCTTCATACAGTGTGTTGTAATCTAATTATGGTAATGTCCAATAGAAAATGTAGTGACTGAAAAAACATTCATATGCTTTCCTTCATTTCCAGGCATGTTTTCAGGAGGGGTTTTTTTGTAACTTTGATTACAAATTTAGTTCAAGGAGAATACTTCTCTTCCAATGACAATTTATTGAGGTAGTTTTCCTAGCAGTATAGAAAATTATTCTTTTAACAGGATTTCCTTTTGTACGATTTATGTTCAAGAGTGACCTGTTTATCAATCAACTTTACAGATTTCCACACTTTCCTTTTGCAGGTATTTGTTTTAGAGAGAGAGCAAGAGCTTTTCCATCTGTTGAAAGGAAAAATGCTTTTGACAGCTATGTTACTGTTTTTATCCCATTTTGATGATTTAACTGAAACAAATATTTTTTAATTTTTTATTCTTACCCTGGTTTTACTGCCTTTTTCTGTACTTAGACTTGATAATAGGGTTTCAAAAGTAGGTCCTATCACTTCTTTGTTTTTCTCTTGCATTAGTCTGTAACCTTCAACCGTCTTCTTATTGCAGTCAGTCTGTGAGCAATAGTTGGCAAACAGTGGCTAACCACGTGAAGACCACTCTCTACACTGTGAGAGGACTGCGCCCCAATACAATCTACCTGTTTATGGTGAGGGCCATCAATTCACAAGGTCTGAGTGATCCCAGCCCTGTGTCAGATCCTGTCCGAACACAAGGTAACAGCAATTAATAAGGCTTACATAGTGAACTAAAATAGAACTAAAATAGAAAGAAGGAACTGGGAGTTGACCTATTGGTCAGTCTGGATGTTTGGTTTTAGCAGTCTGAAGGGATCGCAAATCCAGCTTAACCAATAAAGATTAAAAATAGTTTGATGTTTGCTGTATCAATCTTGAGCTTAGGAGAGATGAGTTAACTCTTTAGTCCTGTGTTCATTGTAGGCTTTTTGGTTTGCAGTTCACTTAGACTTGGTGTGCTCCTTGATGCCTGATCTCTAATGGAAGTAATATGTGTTACGCAAGCTTTTCTGAAAAGTACTCTGAATACCATGCTCTCCTCAGTATCTTTTTTCTCTGTGTCCTTACTTCTGCTTTATTATAATAAAGATATACTATATTTACAAGTGCTTATGATAGACAAACACTGTGTTTAGTGCTAGTTTTAATCAGAAGAATTGTACAAAATATCTGTAGTGTGTTGATTAATCTAGTCCAACATTTAGACAGGGAATTCCTGTAAATTAATTAATTAATCCTTCATTTATAGGGCAGTGATATAATTGTTAGCTGTGATCCTTGGTGGGTATAAAACTGACTATTGAATTCAGTTCATGTTACATCAGGTTTTAACTGCATGTAATTGCCACAAACTAACTCCTCTCAGAGCATGGATTTTTTTGACTTGGGCAATACATTACTTGAATACTTGTGGTGGCTTAACCCTGGCTGAGCACCAGGGGCCCACCAAGCCACTCTGTCACACTCCCCCCTTTCTTCTCCCTCCTCTACCGAGCAAAAGGGGGAAGGAAAATAAGATGGAAACAAAACCCTTGTGGGTAAAAACAAAGGCAGTTTAATGAAAAGCAAAGCCATTCAACAGGTCAGCTGTCCTGGTTATGTCCCCTCCAAGCTCCTGCTCCCCGTCCCACTGGAGGGCAGGGGCAATGTCAGAAAGAGCCTTGGTGCTGTGCGAGCACTGCTCAGTGGCAGTCACAACACGGGTGTCATCGACACCCTTCTAACTCCCAACACAAAAGCCCTGCTCCAGGAGGGCTGCAATGTGAAAATCAGCTCAGCCAGACCCAATACAATACTTCATTAAAAAGTGTGGTTCTGTACTAAACAATTGGAATACAGGAATTAATAATTTTTTGTATTCGGAATTTTTCAAATCCAAAGTAATAGCTTCCTCTCACAGTTAATTTAGAATAAGATCCTCTGTCTCTGTTTATGGAAGTTGCAAACATGTGCATTGAGTGTCAAGCGTTGAGCATGTGTAGTTGGTTTGGATCTTTTGCTGGTCCTAGATGAAAAGAGAGGAACAAGAGTAGGGTGGCATTTTTTACGACATAACCATCGCATCCAGCCTTTCTCATCCTAGTGGATCCCTGAACAAATTTGTCCTTAATAATTATCCCCTCAAAATATTAACAATTTCTGTAAAAGGAGAAACAGAGCTGCTTTCTGAAAAGCTGAAGGAGTGAGTTGGGCAGGGATTTCATGGCTTGACTGTGCATGGAGCATTATAAGTTTTCTTCTCTTTCTTACTCTCCCATTATTATACAGCATCTCATGCTTTTCATTGCACCAGCCTTTTTAGTCTGCATAACTTATCACCTTTTTAAAAAAACAACTTTGTTTGGCATTTAAGTGTCAAGTATAGACTTTTTATCTGACATACTGACAAGCAATTTGATTTCAGTAAAAACATGTCTTTTAATTAGCTACAGCATGTGTTGCAGCTTCCATTTCCAGAAGCTGTTTAGCAGTCAAGCACACTGAGACATGTACAGGATTTATAGCTTCTGCAAGCCTGCAGTTTAATAGAATTAAATCATAAAATCAATTGAAAATTAACATAATGTTTTGATGTGATTTCTAATTATGCCTGAATTCAATTCAGGCTCACAAAAGCTGACACGCGGTAGAAGGTCTGTTCACAGTGGCCATGGAGGAAGAAAAAGCAGCTATAACACTGCTATATAACACTAATTTGCCACAGGTGTCTGTGGCAGCTTTCATAGTTGAGCATTTAATTTCCTGGTATTAAGTACACCAAATAAAAGTAATAAGATTTCCTGCATATTTTCACCAGTGGACTACAAGTAGACAATCAGACACTTTGACAGATTTACCTTATATGACTTATATCAAATAAGACAGAGAAATCAGTAATTACTCTAAGAAAGAAGTGGATTTCTTGTCTGGATTATGAGCAGACCAAACCATTTATTAAATAAATAAATAAATGAATAAATAAATTTAAAGAAACTGTATATAATCTTATCCCTGGAATCTAAATTACCAGCAACTAATAGTAAGTTCACTTGAAGCTGTTAAAAGATAAGTTAGCAAAAAAAACCATAACCAATTTCATTTTAGAGACCTCTTAGTTGTGGTAAGAATATACCTGCTTGAGCCAGTTTTGCTTGAGTCATGATTTTATTATTCTAGCACATCATGATATCCATACAAATCGATAACTACTTTTCCACCAGGAGTCTTTTAGTAATGTGAAAACGACATTATAAGACATTACACTGTGAATATCACATATATACACCTTTCCAAGTGTACATATCAGCAAACAGAATTCCACATGTACAAGTTGATACTAATTTCATACTATTATTAGCCCATGTTATTCCCTTATTTCTGGTCATATGTCCCATTAGATGGACCAAATGCAGTTCATAGAAACAGAATGTGTAGAAATGGTATTTTTCTTAAGGGAATATAGGTACTTTGGTGGTTGTATACCACAGGATAAGTTAACCTGAAATGTAGACATGGGTAGCAGTAGTTATTTTGTACTGAAGATCATAGGGTTTTTTGTGGGTAACAGCATAAGTTGTCTTCCTGTAAACCAGTCTGAGTTGCTGTCTCACAAATTTATTGTATCTCTCTGTTTCTTGGTCACTTTGAATAGGCATAGTTTGCTAGACAAGCTCCTTGACTGACATCCATAGTTGGATTATGTTTCCTTTGGAGATCCTTGGACCCATTTTCATTTCAGTATCAGTAGAAGCCTGTGGCAATGTTGTTTACTGGTGGCTAAGAGCACATAACAATCCAGAATTATGAAGCTGACATATTGATGATCAAGAACTATTTTCTTTCAGAATCTGGAGGCACGTGGTTCAGTTGTTATATTTAAACATTTCATTTGTAAAAGCATGATTATTTCTTCTTCATAATATTGAGAAGAGAAAAAGAAATCCCATGTTGCATACTTCTGTATCTAAGACTATCAGAGGGAGAAAAAGCCCTTTTTATGTATGTATTCACTTCACAAAGATGTGATGTTGATCCAGAAAGAGGGAAAATCTCTTTGGCTACTGAATCCCATGGGAAACCCAAGCAGAATTCACAGATGCCTCAACAAGCATGACCACAATGTATCAAGCCTTTTAGAACATAATCTGTGCTTGTGTTTCAAATCCTTTCTTCTGGAAAAGTTCAAGCAAATTCCATCAGACACAGTGAGTGTGTGAGTATGTGTATGATGCAACCCACGTAGACAACTGACGTAGAAGCGTCATCTGTAACTGTTGACCAAGAACAGCACTGTAAGATCTTTGAAGAGATGCAGACTTCACTGGCTCCTAGAAAGTATCTTCATTTCTGTCTAAGTTGGAGGGAAGGAACATGCTGTTATATTAGCTAGGTGATAGCTATAGCTCAAGGTTCTCCTTTTGGTGCAATGTAACAGAAAATGATGATTTCCAGGAACTATCACTAAAAAGACAGACCTCACATCTCCATTTTCTGGCACCTATTTTGAGTTTGCAGGTCCTATTTAGCAAAGACAGTACATTCATTCAGTTCAACACAATGGTGTAACCTGTGTGTTCCCTAAGGACTAGGTACTAGGGCCCTGTGTGGTGGTGGAGATGGAGTCATAGTTTTCCATAGGTCAAATTCCTTCAGATCTTTTTTTTCTTCAGACTAGAAGAACCAATTTCACCACACACTTTGAAGCAATTTTTTACATAATCTTGAAGAGAAAATTTTTGTGGTAGAGTGTTTTTCTTGGCCTTTTATTAGACCAGAATCAATTTGGCTTCATAAATGAATTCTTTTTTAATAATTTTACTAGATTTCATTATCTATTTCTGTAAAGGAAAAATTTAGTTTGCAGAATAAAATGCTTTTTTTTTTTTTTGGTATTTGGTTTCTCGTGTGCATGGTACATGGGGAGTGGAAGCTTAGTGAAAGTTTGGAAACATAAAATGCACTTAGTGTCATGTATGGTCTAAGAAAATAAATTTAAAAAAACCCAAACCTGTTCATTTTCTTCAATTAAACTAACCAATTTGGTTCCAGACATCTGGACAACTGTATTATTACCTGACTATTTTGGAACTAGTGAATATTGCGTCTCTCTCATCATTTACCAGATGTAAGAAAACTTTGCCATCGAGTCCAGATACTCCTTTAAACACCTTTATATTTCATTATTTCCTAAGCAGTTAAAGGTGAACGGTTTGTTTCCATTACTTGATATGCTTTGGAATTCATACTTAAACCTCATTACTGTATTGTGTTAAAAACAGTACTGTAAAGAGTGTTTAAATCAGGTCATTAAGCTATTCAGTAATTTTTGCTGATGTGATAATTCTTCTCTTTAAAACAATACTTCCATGTGTGTGTTTTGCCTGGCAGATATCAGCCCACCAGCACAAGGCGTGGATCACAGGCAAGTCCAGAAAGAACTGGGAGATGTCATTGTACGACTGCACAATCCTGTTGTGCTGACACCCACGACGGTTCAAGTCACCTGGACAGTAAGGCTTCTATTTATTATTATTACCTTAACAGTATTTTAATTTTGCCTGTCTATCCCTGCACTTTTATTACCCTGAAAAGCTCCAGTCTTGACCCCAATACAAGTTCTCTGATAAAGTAGCGTTATACACACATATATGTGGTAATTAAATGGTCTTTTTATTTTTGCTTTGAAACCAAGCAGTTTCCAAGTCTTCCACGTTCAGCTCAAAGCGAGCTAGATGTATGACTAGAAAAATATTACAAAAATAAATATGCTTAACACCGTAATCTAAAGGATAATTATCTGTGAACTCATTACTGTGCATGTCAGAAAATAATCAAACTTAAATCTCAACATGAAATTGCTGTATAAAAACAGACTTTCCATTTGAAGGCATAGGGACCTCTGACAACACCCTGTTATTTGGTAGCCCTAAAATGCAAAAATAGCTTTCCAATAGGGCACTTGTAGTGAAATCAGAAGCACGTGGCTCTGATGTCTGATCCACTGTGTAGTGTCTGGATTTCTAGCATAAGCCTTACCCATAATCAGTGGATAGCCTTTCATTATAGAAGACCAGAATCTTTTTGGCAATACTTAACAACACTTCTATTTGAGGGTCAAACTACCGGGTAGAATTTGTGATACAATCTTTGGCTTTCCAAATGCTATGTTTCCCTTCCTGAGGCTTGAAGGAAAGGATTTATACCAGTAGAAGGAGAGAGTTCCCAGGGTGCTGCAGACCCAGAGGAAGGAGAGCCACAGGCCTCCTTCCTGAGAGTGAGGGCAACAGTACTGCACTGCATGGCGGGGGAAGAGTTGTGTTGTGTAGGATGATTTCTGCTAAAGGGGTATTCACAATACTCAGGGTTTTTCTTGTGCATGTAATATTGCTAAGAGGTTAATGTGTACAGGGGATTATACAACAGGAGATAAGAAGTGTGGTGATAGATGTGTATTATAAGGATTACTGTTGTTTTTGCACAACTCAGCCATATTTACAGGGGCTTATGCACCATCCATGTTCTGACAGATTATAATGGTCAGGGGGACAGACTGGAATAAACAGAGAAATAAACAAATTGTCTTTCTCAGAAGATTATTTAGAAAATGTGTCATTGCATTTTGCCATTGAAGATGTCAACACACAGCTTGCCTTTCAGAAAATGGTGTCTGTTTGTTTCAGCTACAGAACTCCACAATGGGCTGACTAACCTGTCTTGAAAACCCTTTCGCCCAATTGATATTTGCCCGAACAGATGAGTCAGTAGTTTATAAACCTGGCATGTTAGCATCCAGTAATTTTAAACCTGGATCACATCTGAGCAGTGCTCCTTCAAGTCCTTTCTTGGGTATGACAGCTTTCAGAAATATAGTTTCATAGGCTTGCCCTTGATTTAGCATATACTACAAAACGAAGCCCCAGTGTAAACAGAATCCAGTTTTATGCGCTGTAACTAATGTGATTATATTATAATGAACAATATATGTATACCCGTATTTATGTGTGGTGTGTGTATATATGGGAGTGAACATGTGCATGCGTATATATATTCATAGCTCTATCTGAAAGACTGTCTTGGTGCCCCTACTGAACAAGTAACGAGTGAAGAAAACATGGTAAGGTAAATGGTTAGGGATGCTATGGATGTCAGCTCATTGAGAAGATCCCTCAAAGCATGACCTTATGCCACCTGACAAGCATACAGGCCTCTGTAGAGACGTTTTGGAATTGCCCAAGGGGAGAAAGGCACAAAAAAAAAGATCTCTGGAACAGCTAATTAGAAATTTTCCAGCAACCAGAACAAAACCAATTAACTATAGTCTCTAGGAAAGAAGCCACTCTATCCAGAGATTGAAGTCCACGCTATTAAAATAAAATGGTTAGATAGTGTAGCTATTGTACAAAAGGAGAAAAGTGCCATGAGAGTTCTAGGACTCTTTGTGTTCGCAATTCAAAGAGTAAATGCTGGGGAATATCCTTGATTACTGAGTTTCTGGCATCCTGATTGCCAGCAAATTAATACTAATTTCTCTCTTCTTTCTGAGGTTGTTTGGCGTTTACTTTCTCTTTATTTTCAAATTTTGAGTTTAAAATTTCAGAATTAATTTTCTGCTACTGTGTTCCAATTTTAAAATATACAGATACATATATACACATACTTTATCTGTTTCAGAAGAAGATCAAGCTAACAAAGTCAGTGTTAAAAAAAGGAAGAGGAATGTCAGAAGTTAGGTTTTCACTGTCACTTAAATCTATTCCTCTTGTGCGTAAGTGTTAAAGTGCAGCTGTAATTATCTGGTCACATACAGGATCTCTACTTTATTGAGATATTCAACATTTCTTTTTATCTTCTTTATTCACTGCGTGGTGTCAGGTCTTATTAAATTCATACCCTTGAAACCTTGCATTGAATAAAAAATTATTAGTTTGTCTCACATGCTTGCTTATCTGTCATGCTCTCAACCGTAACATTTGGATGCTTCACAAATAATACTGAATTTAACATCACAATGAAAAAAATGTGTCATTATCCTAACTTCACACATAGAGAGGTGAGGTGCAGAGATACTTACCACTGCTGAGACTTACAGAATCAGATGTACCCACTGTCATCAAATGGCTAATTTTAAATCTTGGGGCTGATTTATTTTTGCTTTTATCAAAACATTTTCCATTGCAACAGCATATGGTGTACTCCAAGCATTTTTTTTACCTGACTTCAACTATAGTTCAGCACTTCTAGCCTCACTGGGCCTTAAACTGAGGAAATGTTTCCTAGTATTATAAAGGAGCTCTGTGGCTGGAATAAAAATTCTACCTAGGAATAAAAGATAAGTTCTTCAGTATGGCAAAAGAATCGTTGGCTTGAAATCCTGACTGCCTTCTCGGAGGCTACCAGGTAGAAGGAAAATTTATTTAACTCTGTCTTTTAATTTGACATTGATTTTAAATGAAGGTACAAGAGTTATGTCCTTTAGACAGTCTCCTAGTATATCTTCACCTTTTGTCTTGTTCCTGTAGGATAGATAAATGCTAGTGCTGTTTGAATTTCCAGAGACTACTGTGGGTCTGTACTAGTGACTTCAGAGCAATGTGCAAAGTATTCTGCCCAGACTGAGAACTGCTGTGGGTATTGATGTGGGAGCAGAGTATTTTTTAGAATATTTTGGAGCAGAAATTTACATATTGCAGAGCATATTGCAAAATGTCTTTAGGGTGATGATCAGCAAGTGTGTCTGAAAGAAGCTTTTATTTGCACCATAAGTTTCTGGCTATCTTTTTAACAACCTAGTAGCCTAACCAAATGATCTACTAGCCATTGAACCTGTCTCATGTTCAGCTGTGGTCGTGCAGTTTTGAACATGGAGGGAAAGTGAGTTTCCTGTTCTGCAGAGATGGAGGGCTGTTCTGCTTCCGTGTACAAAGGGGTTCAGGGCAGGACCCACATGGAACAGAACTATGTACTCCCCTTCCCCCACCCCCCAGAGAGAGAGAGAGAGAGAGACTTTGAAAAAAAAATAATGAAATATATTGTTTAACAAGGAACAGAAAACGAAAAAGGGAGGTAAGAAAAAACAAATATATACAAAGATTAGGGGAAGTACAAAAATAAGCAAAATATACAAAACCCTCAGAAATAGTTCCAAGGTCCCACGGAGTGAAAGCACAACCTCCACCTCCGAGCTGCAGGGCAGGAGTGAAGTTAGCACCCACTTCCTGCCTCTTATCAGAGTGTGTGTCGGAAGGGGAGGGAATACAATGGTTCACCCCCACCCGGGGTCCTCCGAGGTGCTGGAACGTCACACCCCCATTCCAAGCCTCAAACCACAACAAGGGCTCTTGTCAGTTTTGTAGATACTTCTCATACTACGCATTCATTGTAAAAGAGGGTGAGAAGGAGCATGCAGGACCAGTTCTGCTTGTAGGTTGCCTCAAAGCATTAGGTCAGTGCTGAGCAGAACCCACCCATTAATTGCTCTCGTCTGTCTTTTAAAGGAGGATCTGCACTTTCTGCCATGTGTCTTTTGAGAAAGTGTATCTTTAGATCAACAACTGTTGCAGCTCTTTTGAGTGGATGTCACTCAAATTCAAGAGAAGTTAAAGAGTGTCAAAGGAAGACTAGAAATATTCTCTGATCCCAGTATTCAGCGCAGTGTTCCTGAAATCTCTGTAATATAGCCAAGTGCTTTGTGTCAGGAAGTGGCAACCATTTACACAAAAAGAAAAAGGAGAATACCTAGAAATTGCTACATTCTTCCATCAAATCATGGTGCATGTTTCTGCAACTCTGCCTATGTGTGATCACGTACCAAACCTACAAAGCTGTTTGAAGCTTAGCACAGCTCAATGCAGTTCTTTAATGCTAAGCATGTTTTTAGTGGCCTGCTGTTGATGGGACACATAATTAGCACATAACAAATGGAGATGACATCACAGGCTTTGTGTTATTTATGACTCTGTGTGCCAGTATATACAGACACACACACATATGTGTGTGTGTATACACACCTATACATGTACACACGTGTGTATGTATATGTGAAATACACCTGTCCTATACCTCACAATTATCTCTGATTAATCCATATAATTATCCAAGAGTAATATTTTATTAATCAAAAACGTCAAACAGAATAAAAAAATACACAACAAGTGAAGTGCCCTCTGAGTAGTTTCCCAACATTTAGACCATATGAAAGGCCACATTCAGTCATAGAATCACAGAATCATA